ATGTCGCAGCTATCAAGGCCGGGCAAGAGGGCTTGAAGGTCGCGTGTATCGAAAAGCGTGGCGCTCTCGGCGGCACTTGTCTCAACGTCGGCTGTATCCCCTCCAAGTCGCTTCTCAACAACTCCCACCTATACCACCAGATCCAGCACGACACCAAGAGCCGCGGCATCGAGGTCGGCGACGTCAAGCTCAACCTCCAGGCCATGATGAAGGCCAAGGACAACTCCGTCTCGGGCCTTACCAAAGGCATCGAATTCCTTTTCAAGAAGAACGGCGTCGAGTACATCAAGGGCACCGGCTCTTTCGCCTCTGAGAACGAGATCAAGGTCGCCCTCAATGACGGCGGCGAGACCTCTGTCAAGGGCAAGAACATCCTCATTGCCACCGGCTCCGAGTCCACCCCCTTCCCCGGCCTCGAGTTTGACGAGAAGCGCGTCATCACCTCCACTGGCGCCCTCTCCCTCGACAAGGTCCCGGAAAAGATGATAGTTATCGGCGGCGGCATCATTGGGCTCGAGATGGGCTCCGTTTGGTCCCGTCTGGGCGCCAAGGTCACGGTCGTCGAGTACCTCGACCAGATTGGCGGTCCCGGCATGGACACCGAGGTCTCCAAGCAGGCTCTCAAGACCCTTAAGAAGCAGGGCATCGACTTCAAACTTAGCACCAAGGTCATCAGCGGCGATAAAAGCGGCGAGACAGTCAAGCTTGAGGTCGATGCGGCCAAGGGCGGCAAGCCCGAGACGGTGAGCACCCCCCTTCTCCCAATATCTTTTTTCACCCTTACTCGTGAAGGGAAATATGTTAGAAGTCTATAATCCCTAACCGTGATACTAAACATGAGCCTAACGTGAAAATCAGCTTGATGCCGATGTTGTGCTCGTGGCCATCGGCCGCCGTCCCTACACTGCCGGTCTAGGTCTTGAGAACATCGGCCTGGAGGTGGATGAGCGTGGTCGCGTCGTCATCGACTCCGAGTACCGCACCAAGGCCTCTCACATTCGGTGCATCGGTGATGTCACCTTCGGCCCCATGTTGGCGCACAAGGCCGAGGAAGAGGCCGTCGCCGCCGTCGAGTACATCAAGAAGGGTTACGGACACGTCAACTACGGCGTCATCCCCTCTGTCATGTACACCCACCCCGAGGTCGCCTGGGTCGGCCAGAGTGAGCAGGATCTCAAAAACGCCAACATCCCTTACAAGGTCGGCACATTCCCCTTCAGCGCCAACTCGCGTGCCAAGACGAACCAGGACTCGGAGGGTATGGTCAAGCTGTTGGCGGATCCGGAGACGGACAGATTGTTGGGTGCCCATATCATCGGTCCCAACGCTGGCGAGATGATTGCCGAAGCCACATTGGCACTTGAGTACGGTGCCTCGACTGAGGACATTGCCCGCACCTGCCATGCCCATCCCACCCTGGCCGAGGCCTTTAAGGAAGCGGCCATGGCGACATACTCCAAGGCCATCCATTTCTAAACACCACTCCCTTTGTACATATATAAAGATAAATAGAGCCCGAACGGCGGGCAACGGCAGGCACGGGAGATGCCAAGGTTAGCATCGGTGTCAAGGTGTACATTATTGCAGCATGATAATATCGATGGATTGAGAGACACTTGAATGGGACAGTCTGTATACCATCATGTTTACTCTGACGCTCCCAATGTGCGACGACCGTGAAGCGAGAGCCCATTGTGTCTACTTTAAACACTTTCGATTTACAGGTGTTGTAATAGAAGACGAGCAAAGACACCAACACAATACCCAAGTAAGCGCCCTCGAACGACCCTGGAGTTCAATTGTTGATAAAGGTCGGGGCCATTCGATGACCTTACAGAACCGTCACTTGTCGACGGTTTCAGTATCGGTGGTGAACGTGACTTGGACAACAGCTTAAGGGCGGGCAACGTGATGTCTAGTTATATTATGCGTAAGATATCGCCTGAGAACACGAATACCTGCATCACCTTCGTCTTCTCTGGTACGCCCTGAAAAAGACAAAGTCTAGTCAAAGAGGATATGCATCCCCGATATTCCTGTTTCTGCGCCACACATTTTCCTGTTGGTTGAGGGAAAGCGGACGAAACACAGGTACGCGGCTACCCCGGGCATCTTGTTCTTGGCCGGGCACCTAATCTCTCTCCGTTAGGAGAGCAAGACGTCCAGAAGCAGCACTTGTCCCAGTTGAAGGGCACCTCCATATTCCCCGAGTAAATGATACGCGAGTAGTGCAAGCTGGGAATAATACGAAGAGCTGCGCCAGTGAATAATAGCGACTTCGGGTAATGAAGAGGCAAGGTCAGTATCGTACATGGCACATGGATACTGCTGTCTTGTTTGCACCTTTTCTGATGATAGTGGTGACGCAGGTGCTCTCTCTCCCCAAACGTGCCGGTGAGCTAGATCTACACTATTGATCTATGTTCGGTGTAGGGAAGATGTTTATAAGATGTACGAACGGCGACATGTATCCGAGTGTTTCGGGGAAAGTGGGCGTCATGGTGGCGGGCCGACAGAGTTCGTCGAGTAAAAGTCAGATCGTCTCATCGAAGAAACACGTATGTTTATATACTCGTCCATTTGGGATGAACTACTCGGCCATCTCTTGGGTTGAGGCTATCCCTTTGTGTCTGAATTACCTCGAAAATCATTGCGGATAAACAGACACAGAGCAGCCATTTGCTGGGACATGGAAAGGGTTTGCTAGAAAACGAATCTCAACAATGGACCATGCTATATATGTACCAGTTAGCATAGTAGGTTAGGCGTGCTAACCAGGTTATAAACGCGAAGTAACCATTAATGGATGCCGATAGACGACAAAACCAGATACAAACAGCCCGCTTCCTCGTAGTTTTTCGGCCAATCTTCCAATGCGTGCATGATACTATTCCATACCGATAACAATAACAACAACGGGTTTGCCCAGAGATGGACGCCTGAGCATTAAATATTCCACGTCGAGGACTCAGGAGACGGACGAAGTTCTGAAATGCAGATTCGCGGCCTTTCACTCTATTGCACTACCTCGCTTTTGACACAGATTCGGGCCGCCATAAGCCCATTTCCACTGTCAATATGTCCCAATAGTTGCATGGTTGCCACCTGTGCATTGGGTTTCGCGGCATCATGTTAGTGGCAAGCTTGTTTAGGAAGTTCCAAACGGCACAGCATTGGCCATAAGAACTACAATCGACGCTCACTGCCGGATCAAGAGCCAATATTAGTTGGAGAGACTCAACGCAAAGCGAGACGAATAGCAGGTAACAAACAGGTACATCTATACACAAGTAAATGTGTCGTTCGTTGCGATGAAACAGGTCGGTCTCGCGTACCTACGCAGAGAGTTAGCTCGAGTTTGGCTGGATGAGCCCATCCCTTGCATCGTCAACATACGTGGATCTGCTACCCCTATCTGCACGGTCTAAAATGACCTTCAGCGTCTGCCATACTTGGTAGTAAGGATAGCATTCGCAATTGCATGACTTTATTTAAGTCCTGACACTGTAGATTTATTTAGACGTACCTAGCAAAGACAGTCCGAATACCGCGAGGTGAGAAATCTGTACGTGGTAAATTAGGGATGCCGATATAGGTAGAACGCCTCTCTAAATACCTAAGCCACAGTACGTGGTAGTAATGAACCAGTCCGGCCATCCGTCTCGGTTCCAGCTGAGCCCTCGCGTCTCACTCGCACCCATGAGCTTGCCGTTGCAACGATCTAATATACAGTGCCCAACCACTGTCTTTACCTGACGAGGCTGAGCTCTAACAAGAAATGGGCGAAGGCTGAAAGATCATCAAGTGGAAAGGGGGAGCTTTTCTGGAGGCGTGCCCTTGCCTTGCATTGCCTCCCCGGACATAAGATGAGATGAAGAGGTGATAACTGACAGGTTGAAGATGGAATCATGGATCGGCGCCCTTATAGCCACATTGGAAAATACAGATTATTCGCCTTTCCCTTGGCGACAGGGCAAGCTCTTCACCACCATGGCGTGTCATGGAGACCAATGTTCATATCCCTCGGGTTTTATGACTGGCCATGTCACCTGCATTTCGGCTGAGCAGCCGAAGCCGAAGGACGGGAGCGAGCCCCAATCACGCTTGCGAAGGCCAATGGAGACAGAACAGGGTCCAATAAACAACTCCATGGAGCCTAAGAGTGGAGGGATGTGTTGGGACTCCAGCTGCCTGCCGCCTTCGTATGGGAGAGTGAAAGAAAGGCAGGGTTGGACCTCGCTTGACGACAAAGCTGTCGCACCTAGCGTACACGCCGCCAATCGCGAGCGTCGCCCGCTGCCGAAGCCCGGTGGCCAAGGTCTGCACCGAGATGGTTGCTCGATAGACAGGTTGGGTACGCTATTTGCCGGGCATAGTTAGCATGACTTGCATCGTCCCAGGAATCGGGAGGAGGCCGCAGGTCGCAAACAGTGCAACCAACCTGACACGATTCGATACACACTAGACTGCTGTGGCGAGGGCGGCACAGGACGAGACGGCAACGCCAGTACGTGCACATAGTGCATAGATGGGCCCTGGGGTTGAGATGTTTGACGAGTCGTACCGGCATCAGTGTCACCTTGTGTCAGTGCACGCCAACTCTCGCTGCGGTCGCCGGCAGCACGGTAACATGCTCCGTCACAGCTCGGACACCGACTCACGGCATGACGAGGGCGTTGCAGGTTGTTGCACGAGGTGTTGATGACTGTTGCATGTGGAGCCAAGAATTGCTTATGGGTTCTCTGCGACTATAAAAAGGACCCTCGTTACGTCAATCCACCGCGGCCTCGCACCAGGCATTAGCCACAATACTTGTCAACCACCGCTCTGTCTATTTTCCGGTCCTCTTCTGCGTGTCGGCGCGATGCTATTGCCATTGCCATTGCAGCCACGTCCGCGAGCCCGATTTTGTTGATATACAAGGATGGGAGGTGTCAGGTGGGCCGAGGCCGACTATATCTAGGTAGCTAGCTTAGCGAGCGACATGTCCACAGCAGTCAGCCCTGCTGGCCTAATGGTTAAGGCGTGAGACTTCGTGCGTTTCCCAGCGGCCGCCCATCCGTAGCCTAATGCTAACCTATAAAAAATCATAGTAATCTCAAGATTGCGAGTTCGAGTCTCGCGTGGGGTTCTCTTTTTGCACTTTCCCTCTCTCTCGGGGTTCCCTGCTCATCCATGTACTGTTATCGACAACTCTGCATTAACAATTCAAGGCCATCACTCACACGACGCTGAAACAATTTAGAGAGCAAGGTAGGCAAGCGTATACATAGCTCGAAAGGGAAAGCAGCTAGGGCCTCACCCATGCCCATGGGCAACATGCTTGGGTTGTGCGGTCGAGCGGTGTACTGCATTTCTATCACCGTGTACTTGTCAAGTGTTCGGTGAAAATCATGCCCGGGTGCGTTAGAGCATGGCGGCTCCTTAGATTTCCAAGTGTCCATGTACCTGCGACACAGAGCTGGGCAGAGTGCTCGTTTGTTGCCCAATGGGGAATGGCGATGGGACTTGGACTGCTTGGTCAAGATTGTCGTAAAATCAAGGTTATTAATAAGCTTAAATTTCGACGTTCCGTCCTGCCACCCTACTTCAGCCCGCCTCGCCAAGCAGCTTAACCTCACATTTCCCTACCTCCTCCGTAGTCCATTCATAGTTCAAACCTGCCCGAAATGGCCCGTCCCCAGAGCCAAGCTGGAAAGACGTCCTCTATGTTTCTCGGCCACCTTTGGAAATGGCCCGATGTAAGTCTCCGTTGCTGGGCTTTGCCGGAACTTCCGCCGTCCAGACCCCCCCCCCCCCCCGCGAAACCCGACCATGCCACAGTGTTTTGTGACGGGCCAGTGGTGAGGAATGGGAGGGCCCAGACAGCCATTCCGATGCAAGTAAGGCGCTGGGCACTAGCGACCTCTGCTTGACCAGCCATTCTCTTCATCTTCTTTGTCCGGCCCCGACACTGGGAGTAAATGTCATTCTTCGTCGGTAAATGAATCTCCCAACACGCACTTAGCGTCGGCAAGCTGTTTCACTGGCCTTGCAACGCGCGGGACACGAAACCAGCATGACCATGATTTGAAATTTTGCTATAGAACAGAGAAAAGCTAGCCTTGCATAACGTGAGTGCGGAAGCCCACGTGTTTCTAGCCGTAGTGTGACGACCCTTACAGCTTCTGGCCAAAACTGACAGGCGATACCCGCCAACTCCGTGAGGAACAAATGCTTGCACTCGGGCCGCACTCATACTCGCAGCGTGGACGGCCGTTGATCTTACCCGAGCCCACGTGCAAGTAGGTACATGGTTGGGCACTTGAATGAGCTTTCTAGGACTTCTTTCTAGGGCTTCCTGTAGCGCCAGCCACACTGCCGGCGTGTTTCGCGAGACAAGAATAGACTTTGTATGGCCAGTATGTCAGTGTAATCAGCAATTATCATGATGTGTTGTCTTCCACGGCCCAAACCGACACTAGACATGACATAACCATCATTTCGCAAGTATGTTTATGATTGGTGATGAGAGGCAATAAATCTCTGATTCGCTCCTCCACACTCCCAGGTCATGTCTGCGTGCCTATGTGCGCCGGCTTGGTCTCGATCGTCTCAGCCCTCATCCTTCGCTCTTCACCATATAGCACAAACGCCGCCGTTGTGCCGGTTTCTCCGTGTTTCGCAACCAATATTTCTCGGAAATCCAAAGTTGATCATCGCAACTAGTGCCACAAGGAGGGAGATCCCGTCGGGATCGGGTGCGTAGCACCGATATCATGGCATTTGTAACCGGCCTTTTACTTGCCAATCTGTAGAGCGCATGGACTGCGCCCGCTCGGCGATTGGTTATACATGATAGTCCTTGTTCATGAAGAGGCATGCCTGGCCCAGTGGCTGAGTGGACTAGAGTACATACATGCCGTTTCTGTGCCTGCGCTCTGTTACTCTGTGGTTTCAGCCTGTAAGCTGTTGAAATTTGTGATTGATCGTCATGCCACTTCTGCAGTAATAGCCTTCTGTTTGGTCTCCGTTATCAACAATGAGTCTTGCAAGGTAGCAATCAGCCAATGTTGCATCCATAGTAGATGATGCACAGGCCAATAGTGTGAAACAAAGGGTTCAAGTCGTCTTTGCAGCATGCCACCTGCCTAGAAGGAATGGATGGCCTAATAGAACACCAAATGGTATCTATCGAGGCTTCGCGACAAGGGCCCAACTCGGGCGCATCCAAGGCGGGCTTTGAGTAGGCGAATGGCTCAAGAGGCAAAAGGCTTCACGAGACTTGCAGGACAGCTCATGATCCACTTCGCCCCGTTCCCGATCTAGGCGCGCAAAGAACCGACTGCCGCAAGTGAAATGTAGCAGCTTTACACCTTGACGACACGTGCGTACGAAGCATTTGGAAACATGGAGATGTTGATTTGGATTGTTTAATTTTGCCGACACGCCACGCGCGGGAGTGATGTGGAGGGTAAACTAGTAGCGTGCTTGGAAGTGACCGAGCAGGAGAGCCAAGAGTGGATATCATGCACCTCTCGTGTAGAAGAAAGGCGTCGACAACTGGCCCGAGTTGTTCGTCAGGAAGACCGTGATTCCGTGAAGGGCAAGTGGAAACCCATGTGACAGCGAGTATCGCATCTGGACAGACTGAGGCGATAGCACTATCGTATCTGCTTGCCTCTATCTGCTCGCATCGTCCGTCTCATCCGCATATCGCCTGCAGGTAACATGAACACAACCCAATCGGGTACGCATGCGGTACCTATATACAAGTGCATATGCAGAAGGTGGGCGTCACGTCCAACGTCCAACCAGCTGCCGGGTGCTTGAGCTGAACGACGTCAATATATCAGATTGCAGAAACGGTAGGTATACGGGATATACAGTAGCGGCATGGGGACATGGAACCACGATCTTTTCTAATTCCGAGGCCCAGACGGCAGATCCGGGGATATCGCACGAAAGCTTCGTCGTGTGGAAATTCACCGCCCAAGCTGCTGCTATTCTTGGTGGCCTCGGGGGGCCCGCCGGGAAGTGCTAGAGTTCTCACCTCCCCTGTCGCTCATCGGACATGGGCAAGTTTCTTCATCGCTGCCCGGCCGTGCTGCCTGCGGGTTTTCATTGGCCGCCTCAACCCAGCTCGTCGCGACGAAGAAGACGGAGTCGGAGTGTGTCCTCGTCTGTGAATGGTTGACGCCCAAGCTTCTGCAAAGCTTCTCGATACTGGCCACCCCAGGCGAGCCCAGGGTCGATGGGGGCTTATGCCTTTCTGGGAAGCGCATCTCTGGCGGGTATCTCTCAGCACGCTCGGCACGGTACTTCACAAGCAGCTGCTCGATCCGTACGTAGCGGCCAGGATCCCTCATCTGCAACTCGACGCAACCTTGCCGTTACTTGTCACCATGTCGCCCCTGACACAGTGTGAGGCAGGCCACTTGTCACTGCATAGTAAAAAGAAGGGTCCGCCTAGGGACCGTTGGTGGTACACATATGGCAGGCTCGCAGGACGGCGGCGGATGGGCAGTACTTGACACCACTCGCTCGACACACTCCGCATAGCGGTGTCATGCTGGCTGACAAAAGTACTGGCGGCAGGATGAATAAGGTAGGTGGCTAACAAGAAACCCACCTCTGTTCTTGTCTCTCGTCATGTCAGTCCTCGTAGACTCCCCCGATCTGGACTCGCAGCAGCTCGTAGCCCAGAGGTCGGTCGTGATTTGCGGCTTGCAGCACGCACCTGAGGAGTCTGTACAGCGAGCTGGCTGTGTCTACCAAAACCACTGCAGCGATCGGGTGATGGCCGTCGACATCGCTGACACGCATAGCTTGAGGCCCAAGTGAATATGCTGCAGTCATCGATCAAGATCTATTAAAAGCAGACGGTGGCCGGATCATGACAATACAGGCACCCCATACATGGTGAGATGCCAATAGCATGGTTTGAGACATACAGTGCGTGTCACCGTGGGCGGTCCAAATTAAAGGGAACATCTGGGCCGTCGGCTTGGCGGCACAATAAGCCTCGCCCTCGCCCGTCAGGGCTGTCATCCACTATCTGTCATCGACGCTGTGTCATGCAGCGATGCTTCCAAATACTCAAATCACCATGGCCCCATCCACGACGACTCCCGGCCCTTGCCCGGTATACTGTGCAGAGCACACACGTTCCTTCAGTCAGCCCATCAGCAAGCCATACGACTATGAGGTAGGCCTGTACCTACAGCCGCCACGTTCCCAAGTGGAAACACCATGCACACCCATGCGTCTCTTGTCCTTCCATGCTGCAATCCAGGCTCGAACGGGTGCTCTCCGTCTAGTCGCCACCCGCTGGCCAGCCGACCTGTGCCTCCCATTGGTACCGACTCCCAGGGGAAATGTTATCGACCGACGAGCACGCTGGGGACTGTTGTGCTCGTCCATATTGGAGACCACCTACAAGCTTGGGTACTTGCACACCACCCTATGGCACTGCCAGAGTGGCCTACCAGCGACCCTGCTAGTCTTGTACTCAGCTGTTCCCGTCTAGGTAGAGTTGGCCCTATAGCCCATACGCAGGCAGAGTAAGTCCATACGTGGGTGACGTGAACATCCGGTGGAGTTGTGCCGAGCCCAGCGCCTCAACCCGACTGCTATGTATCGGCCTGCTTACTTAGGCCCTGGGCCGTAATTCTTGGTTCATACAGTATCGTGGTGTTGTTATATATCTATATATCCTGAACCACACTTCCCCGGCTCTCCCCTTCTTGTTGTTCATTATCACCAGCATCATCACCAAACGGCGTTCCTTCACTGGTCGTTTCTTCTCCCCCACAAATAGGACCTTGGTAGTAGGTCGACTCTCAACTCCCATACAAACTATAACGATCGAAGAAGTCGGAGACAGGAAAACAGGGGGAAGCAGACAGAGAGGCACATTAGTGACCATGGGATACGTCCGCGCCGTTGCGGGTAACCGCTTGATCCCGAATGTCGTCGACGAGGCTGCTCGCGACACCCCCGATCGTATTGTGTACACAATCCCACATTTAACGGACAACGGCGACAGCTTCGAGGATATCACGGCTTTACGCTTCGCCAATGCCGTGAATAGAGCATGCCGCTGGCTTGAGGGTGTTCTCGGCCGGGGGAAGAATTTCGAGGCCATAGGTT